ACGTATCTCATAAAAATCGGAATTGGAGATATTTCGTCAAGTGACTTATATAATCTTGTACCCTATGATCTCACAAAGTGCCGTAGCTCAATATTCAATGATTTTCGTGTAATTAAATATCGAATACTGATCAGCCTATCTCAAATTGGTGGACTATCAAATCTCGAGTGACCTTACTATAAGAGATACGTCAGTTCGCGATGTTTTTATAATTTGTTAAACATTTCAACAGTGATGTATCTCCGTGTATCTCACAATCAGGCTTGCCGCGGAAATTTAAATATCTCGGTTGGCGTCTCAAGGTACTGAAAGGGGTATTGTAGGGTATTGTACAAAACGAATGAATTTCTGTGTTTTCTATCGATGAAAATGAATATTTGGATCTGGAATTCATTTGAAACCACTTTATATTCATTGACAAACATGATCTCACGTAGTGACGTATCTCACAAACATTTTTTTTTGCGTTTTTGTCGAATATTTTTCGAAATCTCACCAAATCATGGAGGAACCTCTGGAGTTATAAGCAAATTAAGGTGTTGAAAATCACACTACTGGGCTTATTTATGTGAAAACTTCACAAACGATAAGATATCCACAAAATTTTCAAACACACGACATGTTTTGCTGACACAGTAGCTTCGTCAGGTGATATACTGGTAAGGTGGTAAGATGAACTAAACTTACCCTCTACTTGCTTATATATCCCACTTTCCCAAGTACTTTCCCAACCTGAAGGATTAGTTACCTGTGGGCAGGTTCGATTAACCTGCATTTTCGGAAATTAGGCACAATATCTACATTAAAATACGGTGATCCGGATTAACTTGAAAGGGTTGATAGCAAATACACAATATTACATAGTAAGAAAACAAATTCAACAATGGTGAACTATAAAGGTTCAATTGATCGTTGAATAACATGTCAGAATTTTTAAGTTTGTTGATTTCTAATGATTCAAAATGATTGAGTTTCATTCCTTTATTTTCTACGTGTAGAATTTCGAAATTATCATCAAAACTATGGTTTTCTTCTAATATATGGTTGGCGTATGTGGAATTTTTGTTTTTCAAAAAATTCATCCTATGTTCTAAACGTACGAACTGTCTGACCCTCGGTCTGACCGATATATACGTTATGACAAGATTCACATGCAGTTGAGTTTGAATTCCCCGGATTTTTCGAATTTAAAAGTTTTGTCTCCATTATTCTTGATAAACCTTCCCAACGTGCTATTTGTTCTATATGCAACTTTCAAGTCCTGATTATGTAGAAATGAAGCTAATTTTTCAGTTGATGAACCGAAATAGGTTAAAGTTATACAGTGTCATTCATAAAGTCTGCATCATATGGGAAAAACTTTTAATAATGACTTATTTTGAAATTCGAGTTGGACGAAAAGTTTTGCTTCAAAAAAGAAGAAAAATGGGCTACTCAATCGGGGTCACGTGATTTTCGCTACATGTCAAAAGTGACATTTTTTCAAATTAATCGCTGAAAGTAGGCTTATTTGTTCGAATATCGAAAAAGTTTACTTGAAAAAGTTGTTTCTATTTCAATTTAACATATGACTCGGATTTTATCTCTCTATTACATTTTTCAGATTTCGATATTTTTTAAAAATTTTCGAAATTTCTGTGATATTAAAAAAATTGAAAATTCGATAAAACTACTTCATACCAGTAGCTTCATCATGGTACTCACTTTCAATTACTAATTATCACTAATTATCGACAAAAATGTGATTTTCTTCAGAAAATGATAATCTCTCCTTCAAAATTCAGTTATGTTTGATGCAAACATAACATCAAAATTCTGTTATGTTTGAGTCAAGCATTCAGAAACGAAATTTATTCAACTTCATTTTTTCAGTACTGAAAATATCAGTTTAAATGAATTTCGTTTCTAAATGCTTGACGATGTATCAACTTTGCATCAAACATAACAGAATTTGGGAGCGGGTATTATCATTTTCTGAAGAAAATCATATTTCTGTTCATAATCACCCAGATAGCACGGGACGTCCCGAAGACGTCCATTTTAGGTCCATATTTGGTCTGAACGTCCAGGACCTTTTATGGACGTTTTTAAGACGTCCATTATTGGACATACTCCGGACGTCCAGAAAAAGACGTCTTTAAAACGTCCAATTTACAGACTCTCACGGTATATCAGTTTAAATTGATATAAGTAGGTAGGTATATATAAATTTTGAAATTAGAATTATTGAATTGAATATGGACATGAATAATGTCAAAAAATATATTATATATCAGCTGTATCAATATATTGAATTTCATTTGATTATTAATATTATGAATTTGAAATATTTATGATTTTAACTGATTTGTACCAACTTTTATAGTTATGTTGAATCATATTCCTTCAATCATATAATACCTATACAGTTTGACCATTCTTAAACCCACACTGAAGTATTCATACAAGCCGCGCTTTTATAATAAGATTTGATTGAATCACTGAATATGTAAAGCAACCGTAGAACGCATGCGTGCTCAGCGTTGCCAGACTTACTATTTTAGCAGTAGATCTACTGTTTTTGTCTCCGTTCTACTGTTCAACTATTCAAGGCAATGGTCTGATTGGTCAAGTTTTGATATGACGTAAATACCCAATATGCAACAATGAAAAATTAATGGGACATCACAATAAGAAGATGTATGATATAAAAATATACTACAACTATCATATTCAGTCTGATTAGTGAAAATTAGCTTTTATTTCCAATCTGGTTGCGGTTTTCACAAATTTTATTTTTTATTTCATTATTTTTTGTTATTCTTCGTTCGATTTTTGATAGGTATAGAGACCGAACATGATTTTTTTTTCGTTTATTATATAGGTGACTATGTTTTTTCATTTATGATAGCAATTGTGATGATTATCAAAATCTTCTGTTCAGTTTTGATGATCTACTGTTTTTTCCCCACCCATCTACTGCTCCGACAAATTTTCATTCGGCAACACTGTGCGTGTTACGTGTGAAACTGTGAAACGAAAACGTAGGAAGATGGCGTCCGTCACGACCGTCAGTTGACCACTGCCGAGTGCCGATTAAACTGTGATTCAGGTCCAAGGACATTCTGAACTTTTCGGGTTATTAGACTGTAAAAGCAGTGAATAAGTGAAATCTTTGCGGATATCATCTATCAACTGGTGAACTTCGATCTCGAGTTCCATCGAGATGTTTATTTGAAGGCAAGTATGGCTATCGACGCTATCGTTTTATTTTCATTCGCATGAAGATGCTTGAGTAAGAACATCAAATCTGTAGTTGAGAACATTAGATACCTTTCTAAATAATTTGATCTCATACAAAGCTCTACCTAATCGTATTTCCATCATCTACCAAAGTTTATATTTTTGTATATAGTTAAAACATAATATAATTCGTGCACCTAGGTTCATAGAGGTTATAATGGTACCTACCTTAGAATCAGTTTATGTATGGAATAAGTTCTCAATGAAATAAAAATAATGAAGTATTCCGCTATACTGACTACTACACGTTGGAAGTGGGTGTGTGTTTATGGTTTATGGTATTCACAGAAGATGTTATTGAATATTATTATTATTTACAGATCCAGTGAAGAAGACAACAGAAGGCTGCCAATCAGAAAAAGACATCATCGCGCCTGCGTACCTGGATGAATCACGCGACGTTTTTAGTGGTGCAGCTGCTGATATACGATATGGAAGAGTGAAATTGAAACAACTACCTGAATCTCTGTTCATATTATTGTTTGCGAATAAATGTTAACTAATATTCAAGTATTTCACTCTTCAGATGGGTCAGAAAATCAATAATCAATATTGTCTGAATGTCCTCAATACGTCCATTTTTTATCCCAAAAAGGTCCTAGTCTGGACCTAAACTGGACGTCCCCAAAACATCCTGATTATTAACAATGGACGTCCTCAAAACGTCCATAAGACGTCCGTCGTCCGGAAATGGACGTCCCCAAAACGTCCTGAATGTCCAGAGTGGACGTTTTTAAAACGTCCATAAGACATACTTGTGCTGATTGGGCAGTGATAATACGTGATTGAAAGTAACTAGCATGAAGAAGCTACTGGTATGAAGTAGTTTCGTGGAATTAACAATTCATCAAATATTACAGAAATTTTGAAAAATTAAAAAAAATCAAAATCAAAAAGTTGCAATAGAGAAATCAAATTTGGGAAGCATGTGTAAAATTGAAATAGAAACAACTTTTCCAATTAAACTTTTTCGATATTCGAACAAATAAGCCTACTTCCAGCGATTAATTTGAAAAAATGTCACTTTTGACATGTAGCGAAAGTCACGTGACCCCGATTGAGTAGGCCGTTTTGCATCTTTTCTGAAGCAAAACTCAACGTCCAACTCGAATTCCAAAATAAGTCGTTAATAAAAGTTTTTCCCATATGATGCCTACTTTATGAATGACACTGTATAATTTTGATTATTATTCTTGATGGTAGGATAAACTTGAATAGCTTGAATATGTATTTGCTATCAACCCTGTCAAGTAAATCCGGTACACCGTATTTTAATGTAGATATTGTGCCTAATAACCGAAAATGGAGGTTTATCGAACCTGTCCACAGGCAACTAATCCTTCAGGTTGAGAAAGTAGGAGATTCGGAGATATAAGCAAGCCAAGGTTAGTTTTGTCATATGATTTAGTTCGTCGTACCTGTATATATCACCTGACGAAGCTACTGTGTTAGCAAATCATGTCGTGTGTTGAGAATTTTGTGGAAATCATATCGTTTGTGAATTTCTTACATTTGCATCATTTACATTTTCATCAAGTAACGACCGAGTCATTGAAAAAAAACTGTGCTTATTTCAGGACTAAAAGTTCATATGAATTTATGTTCTAGCTTTCTCAATTTCATTCAGTTTAAGTATTCATTTGCCATTATGAAATTCTAATAATTTCAAAAATATACTAATTAAGTAATTAAAATCAGATTTTTATTCATAATCTTACCTGGATCAGCTACACTATTATCCGTTATATACGCATATCCAGCATCAGTATCATCTACCACAATGTCATACAAAAAACTGGAATTCAAACTAGCCACATTATTCGGGAACGTATAAGCCGTAGTCGTCATATTCTTCTTAATATCAAATATCACCAGCTTAGGAGGACACCTCACCACCCCCTCAACAAGAGTCTCCGTCCTGCCAATATCTATGATCCAGATCTGCCCTTTGGGATCCACCTCCACATTCTGCACATTCTGCAAGGCACTGCAATCTCCAATCCTGTTCATCTCCCAGGAGGGAAACGGTTCGAGGAGGGGGGCCGTATCCGTTGTAGGTCCAGAAGGGATGCGAGCAAGGGTAGCAGGAACCCCTTTCTTCATTCGCGGCAGGGTGACGTAAAAGTGCCCCTCGAAGTGCTTTATTCCGGTCAGGATGTTGTTCTCAGGGACGTAGTCGCCTACGCTTAGAGCATTCTGGTAGGTATCGCGGGTTGGCCATGTGAAATTCAAGTGTTTCCATTCTCTGATTACCCGGAATTTTCCGGCTGAGACCGTTAGAACGGACAAACCGAAAGTTAGTGTTATGAAAGTGAGCCGCATTTTTTTTAGCGCGCCGTGCAGCGTTGGATGGAAGACTGAGGATCATTTGGTATCGCAACTAGTTTTATAGCAGTAGCGGATCTGCTAACGATGCTAAGTGATGATTCTGAATCAACAGGTAAAAATGACGTATTGTTTATCGTACAGAATAATGATCGGAGATTTTTATATGAAGTGGAAGATTGGTTGATGTTCGTTATTCGTGAATCGCATACTATATGTATGCGGAGATCATTATGGTGTTTGTCAACTAGTCCTTCAGGAGTTCTCTCTCGGGCACTAGAAAGGGACGATGCGTGTGCTCCCCTATGCATTTTTGGCTAGCCACTCGAGTAATATGAGGGCGCACTTCGATGTTCTATCAGATTGGGCTATAACTAGCATATTATGAACTACAGTTCTCAACACACCAAATGGACTACTCATAATTTGACTCTATTTCGATGACCTGTATTTCTTGAAAAAATTGACCGATTTTCATGTGGTTTTCGATAACAGATGTGATATTTCATCGAGTTCAAAGAGAGCTAGAACACTCTGAGAAAGTTCGCAGAACAAAACTTACACAGGGTGTAAAGTGGAACCATTACACGATGGTCTACATTTCCAATGCTGGCAGAACTCGAGAAATTTTTTTCTGATCAAAAATCAGTCATATTATGATACACTGGGACCTCATCTCTTGATTGGCCATTGGAACAAAAATTCGATTTTTTTTTAAAGTCTCGCATTTCTTGACATTTTTCTCTAGAGCTCCACTTGAGCTGACTATTGGAAAGAACTGTTCTCATGTTTTGTGGAGGACAATGAAAGACCGAAAAAGCACTATTGTGGAATATACAGGATGATAAGAAAATAGCACAAAATTTCATTTCAGTAAAAAAAAATCGAAAATGGTGACTAAAACCACAGCTTAAGGAATGGGTATCCTTAAACTTTGCTGAAATCATGGCCCATTCGATTCAGTATATTCAGAAACGGCCCTCTCGATATCCATTATTCATATTAGACTATTAACTCGAGACGTTTTCAAATATTCGCCTCTAATTGAAATACAGGATGAAAATTTTCAATTCAAACTTGTATCCTGATATCGATGATTCTTATCAACTGATTTCCAATACACACAGAGTATTTTTGTTCAATATACTGAGTGTTTCACAACTTATATCTTACATAAGAAGTCGATCACATAATAATTTTATAGAAGTAAAACGAGATGGAAAGTGAAATTTATAACACTATTGGCGAAATATGACATTAGTGAATTCTTCAGCATTACGTAGATCCAACTAAAAAGTTCTATATCCTAAAAATTTCAGTACTTAGTAGGGCCTCCCCGATTAAACAAAACCTCATGAAATCGGTTTGGCATAGGTTCTATGAGGTTGTTGATGAAGTCTATTGATATTGCCTCCCATTCTTCTGATATTTAACTTGGATGAGGTTGTCATTATTTTGGGGTGCCTCTCGCCTTCTGGATAGTTTGAGTTTCATTCGGCTCCACACAAGTTCAATCAAATTCAAATCTTGAGATAATGCTGGTCATTACAACCTTCTAACATTATTTTTCTCTAGAGTTCGTAATTTGTCAGATAAGTTGTGAAACACTCAGTATATTGAACAACAATACTCTGTGTCTCATACTTGACCAATAAATATTGTGAATCAGTTGATAAGAATCATCGATATCAGAAAACATGTTTGAATTGAAAATTCTCATCCTGTATTTCAATTAGAGGCGATTTTTCGAAAACGTCTCGAGTCAATAGTCAAATATACATAATGGATATCGAGAAGGCCATTCCTGAATATACTAAATCGAATGTGCCATGGTTTTAGTCACCGTTTTTGATTTTTTTACTGAAATGAGATATTGTCCTATTTTCTCATCATCCGGTATATTCCACAATAGAGCTTTCCTCGTCTCTCATTGACCTCCACAAAACATGAGAACAGTTCTTTCCAATAGTCAGCTCAAGTTGAGTTCTAGAGAAAAAATGCAAGAAATGCAAGTCTTTCGAAAAAAAATCGAATTTTTGTTCCAATGGCCAATTAAGGAAAAATCACGAAAACGTCTCGAGATGAGGTCCCAATGTATTTGATTTTTGATCAGAAAAAAATTTCTCGAGTTCTGCCAGCATTGGAAATGTAGACCATCGTGTAATGGTTCCACTTTACACCCTGTGTATGTTTTGTTCTGCGGACTTTTTCAGAGTTTTCTAGCTCTCTTTGAAGCCGATGAAACATCACATTCGATATCGAAAACCACATGAAGATCGGTCAATTTTTTCAAAATATACAGGTCTTCGAAATAGATTCAAATTATGAGTGGTCCATGTGGTGTGTTGAGAAGTGTATTTCTATTTGCTTTTATTCTGGTATCAATTCTTCCAATGAAAAAACAAGACTTCTGAATTATTAATTGGACTTTTGATGTTTTAATAACAGAAGAGAATGTGTATCGATGAAAATTGCCTACCGTTAATATTCGAAGTTCAATAATTCAAAAATGGTTACGAATATCTTTAGGGATTTTGAGAGAAAAGGTGTTCGTGATTCGCTTTTACACCAAATGGCCTAAAAATATATGGGGTGTTTCATTTGAAAAACTCGAGAAAAATCACTTCCAAAAGTTCCGAATTGAAAAAACATTTTTAGCCACCCTGAACCATGAAAATTCTACAGAAATATCACGCATCTTTCCATCAAATGATATTATGATTATTATCTCTAAAACTTGATAATTGTGATTACAGTGACTTTTTCGGTATGGATCTGCAGATGACATTATTTCGACAAAAAAATTAATAACTTTGAAATGATCGAGAAATAGTCAACAATATTATAGGAGTGGATGAAGGTCACAGAAATACTTCGAAAAATGTGCTTATATATAGGGCATCCCATACAAAAAAAGTGATCCCGACCATCTAGATTTTTTCCGATGGCCCCTGTATATGCGGCAATAATTTCTAGTTACGGATCTTGGTGTCTCATTGAAATTCGTTTTTGAATCACGTTTTCAGTTACCATAGAACTCGAGCAATCGAGCTTCGACGCACTAATACCTCACCCTGTATATACGATTTTAACGTGAGATATTTATTTTCTTTGATTTCTTGCCCTTCGACCTTTTCTTACATTATTCTCAATACTTTTGAAGATATACAGTGTGACCCACTTCTAATGGATCTTACGTAATCGTTTGGTAAGGATCCTTAAATTTGCTGGAGCGAGAGATATACCAGAAACTCTATGACCAAGTGGGGTCATCTTCGGTGATATACACTGCTCGCCAACAGCCATGGAACCACCACAATTTCCAGAAAATGATATTAGGCGTCCAAATAGGTCGAAAATCACTTCTGATTCGGAATCAGGACGCCCAATTCACTAACTATTCACATTTTTCCTGAGAAATTTTCAGTTCTGAAAAATTAAATTTTGTTGCACTTTTTGCGGAAGCACCCCCGTATCTTACGTAATTGACTTAATCTTTGAACTTCCCTTCCTCCTGCAAATTTCAGAACCCTACCTCAATAATCACGTGAGACACGGGGGTGCTTCCATGAGAAGTGAGAAAACATTTAATTTTTCAGAACTGAAAATTTCCTAGTAAAACTATGAATAGTTAGTGAATTGGGCGTCCTGATTCCGAATCCGAAGTGATTTTCAATTTATTTTGACTCCTAATATCATTTTACGGAAATTGGAGTGATTCCATGACTGTTGGCGAGCAGTGTATATCACTGAAGATGACCCCACTTGGTCATAGAGTGCAATGTTGGTATATCTCTCGCTCCAGCAAATTTCAGGATCCACCTAACGATTACGTAAGAAACAGGGGTGTTTCCATTAGAAGTGGGTCACACTGTAGAAGGTTTACAAAAAGTACAAATTCTCGAAATCGTCCTGTATCTCATAAATGGAAACAGTTATGCGAAATCTGATTAGGCCACTTCCAGTTACAAAAAAAAAAGTAGGAGAGAAACGTGAAAACGGCAAGGTTCTATCTTCAATAACATGCAACCGAGAAACCTGACACTTTCAACCAAAATGACTAATCAGATGCAATGTATACAGTTCGGACAAGCAAAAGCAAGAATGAGAAATGAACCTATCAAGGGTTGCAGTTGAGAATATTCCTCGTTAAATAAACGGCAAGTTCTGTTCACGATATCTTTATAATCTCCATGAATAAAAAATCAATTCATCAAATCTTGATTCGAAATACTTTTCCATATTTATATCAATTGTTTGTCAAACGACACACCAATAATAATCTGACAAGCAGAAGGTCATTATGATATTTCTCATTTCCATTGCATACTATGCAAAACCACAACAAATCACTATACTCGCTACTTTCAGGATAATGATCAAAAATAGGAATAGGGAATTTTGAATCACATTGATGTGGAATGAAATTCTCCTTCTTTAATTAAAAGAAATGAAATTGGTATTCCATTTAAATAAAATCGTGAATGGATAATAGGTAACACTTTTCCAAACGTCGTTTTCACAAATTTGGAAGATTTATTCTAATCGTCTTTCCAAAATCATAAATAAACAAAAAAAAATCAATTCCATTTCTACTTATACTGATTCCGATATATTTCAATTATTTAAAAAGATAAATAGAAAAGACTGAATACCTATCTCAAAAAACAGCTAGACCTAGGTATAGGTAAGGCTGAAAATATCATAAGGAAACTGAAAAAGCAACAAGGAATATTGCTTTCCATTTGACATAACGAAGTTGATGGCTACTTCCCGTATAACCGAAAATGTCGATATCTTGAAGATGTTCAATGACCATCATTTTATTTTCAGAACTCAAAATCCGTCTAATGGACCGTTAGAACACTGAATAGCCTGATTAAAAGTAAGATTGAATTATTTCACGAGCATTCAGAGAAGCTACGGTGTGAAACATGTCGTATTATTGAGAATTTTGTGGAAATCCTATCGTTTGTGAGTTTTTTTACATTTGCTAATTGAAATTTATAAACTGTACAAAATTGACAACTTATCGAAAGAACCAACTGTTTATGGCCACACTGGC